TTGACAACCCATTGCGCAGCCGTTATTATCGATAACACATTTGTCAGGAACACGACTTACTTCGACTTTTTCTGCAGCCACGTGGTAGTTACTTATGTACCCATTGTTTTCATTTAATTTTCGCTTAATTTTATCCATCATTGAATTTTCATCAATTGGAGCAGGCTTGTTAGATGATTTTTCAACCCATGAAACTCGATAGGTCACAACAACTGAACCAGGTCTGGGAAAAAATAGTGTAATATTATAACATTTAGTACATTATAATTTAGTAATATATAGGTAATATATTTTGAACTTACTTGAAATCAATCACTTTCAAACTTATGTTGTGCGTTCCATAATTTAATGTCCTTTGATCGAATAATGATTTCATGAGTTCAGCTTCAAGTTGAGATGCAAGTTTTTGGAATTCAGTGCTATTAGGATTGTTGAATTCATCTCTGAATTGTGTATTATCTAAGACTAAAGTTCCTTGCAGAGCATTTGGCACTGTATAAGGAGAGAGATGTTGTTATGTTATCTTCATAATAATATTAAAAACTACAATAAATTTGAGATAAGTACCGTATTGAACATATTTTGACATGTCAGTTGTCGGAGGCATATGAGGGACAGTGGGCAAAGGCGGCGGCGGAGTACTTATTGTACCTCCTGTTCCTCCTGCTCCAAAAGCACTCGCCGTCTTCACGTCGTTGAAACCTCTCGATTCTGTGCTTGTCGTTTCAATGGGCGTTGCATCGTTTGTTAATATTACTCCAGCTGCAGAAAAAATATAAAAAACATTAAGTATCATTAGAGTCACAACTTCTTTGCAAACTTTAGGTCTGAAGATGGTCTGAAGCTACAATAATATTAGATACCTAAATAATTACAAATTGTGCATATTCGATTAATTGCACATTTACAATATATGAAACAAACTAAAATATAAAATATATTTAATTTGTGAAGAATATATTTATACCACACTTAGATATTTAAAATCTGGCTTTTTTTTTAAAAAAAAGGTTTAGTAGTAAAACGTCAGCAGATGTTAAACATAAATTTTGGAAATGTATAAGTACTGCTATGTAGAAAAATGTGAATATTATCAATATTTAAATAAAAAATCTTATTTCCATTTACTATACTCACTTGCAGCTAATATGGCAATCAGAATAGCGCAAAACAACAGTGCCAACCCGAACGACCAGCATAAGATCTTCCGCCATCGACTTTTTGTTCTCTTATCCATTGTCACATACAGTTTCTCACCTCTGCAAAAACAAGTTTTGATTTACAGAATTACACGTCTTAAGGCAGACCATTAAATAAGAATATATAGTATGGTGATCCATCCTAACACCGTCTAACCAGTTACCATCGCAATGTTATGTGAAGCGGAAGGGTGTAAAGTTGACAATTATGTACAAACAAAAGAACAACCCACGACCATTAGAAGCAAATTAAAATAACACAATCATCCTGTACGTGGTGATAATTGTATTAATTAATTGACTTACATAGGAAAATCTGTGACACCAGGAAAGATGTTTTATTTACAGGGATGTAATCATAAAATCAACATATAACGGCCAAAATGTGCTTTTTTTTATTAACAGCAATCACAACTTAACGAGATCTATGAGCTGCTGTGCTAACTTCTTAAACAACGTCGTTTTTAATTAACGAATTTATTCTTAAAATTTTTGAAATTCTATAGATTTTTTTATAGATGCAATTCCAGACATGGGCTATTTTCTAGAAATAGATATTACTACTGCTTGACATCAGACTGTCCAAGTTGGGTATTGAACCTGGAACTTGACTGATTAAAATCCAATAGCTCTACAAAATTTGTTGAAATGAAGACTGAAGTAATTTTAGATTGTATATAATGTTGATTTTATGTCTGTGTTTGCCCGAATCCACCAACATAATCGGATCTGGTACCAAATGTATTATTTTTTGTAAAATATTAAGTTAGATTTAATATTATTACATTTATGGCTAACTCTCATTAAGAATCGTTATGGAAAGCCACTCATAAAAATCAGTTTTTTTAATTTCCATTCTAAACACTAAAAAAACTATTTAGTTTAGTTCTGAAATTCTTTATAGAATTAATGATAATAATTCTTTATAAAAATATATAGTCTAATAATTACTTATGTTTTTGTTACGTTTATATATAATTTATTACATATTTTTATCAAATTGACATAGAATAAAAGTGCAAAAAATGTGAAAAGTGTATAAATGTAGAAAAAAAATGTTACGATTTTCTTACGAAAAAATTAATATAAGCATGAACAGTTTAATTTCCATTATTTTTGATTTCAAAATGTTGCATTTGTAAAATCTAAACAATTTTGCAAAACTGTGCAGATAATTAAATTAAGAATGTTTAAATACATAAAAACTACCCGATATGCAAAATCTATAACAAATCACAATTTAATTTTTATTGTAATTATCTGATGACGATTTTCAACATAAAATTTAATTAAACCTAATTTAAATTTAATTTAATTTCTATTTTTTTATATTTCAAATATTGAAAAAAATGTTTAACGATTATTGCAATGATCATTACATTTAACAAATCACAATTAAAGCTTTAATACAATTTTCTAAAAAAAAATGCATGTATTTGAACGCCGAGATAATCCCTGATGTTTTTCATGTTAAAAATGCATAGTTAATTAAATTATTTAAATTAATTAATTATTTTGTCGTATAAAATAGAATACAATTTTAAAAAATAAACAATGAATATGTAAATATATAAAAAAACTTATAACAAATCACATATAAAATTTTATTTCAATTTTCTGACGACGAGTCGAACATGGAGTTAAGTTCCAAGCAACTAACTCCGTTTGGGTTCTCTAAATTTGTTATGTCTATTTCCGAAAAAGGTATGCGGCAAAAACCTTTAAATCTTTTTTTCTTTTTTTGAACATTAAAATTTGAAATGATCTCATCCAGTACCAAATCCGACGAGCGGAATTATAATGATCGGATACCTAGAACCGCGGATCCATTGCTGGTAGTCTAACAGGCCGTGGGTGGGTTCGTTAACTGACAATCCGCGGGCATTTACGCCCGACGTGGCTGTACGAGGTTCCGCGAATGTCACACTATAACATTCACATAACATACAACAAAAACAACGAAAATAATAAGAAAATAATAAAAATCATTTACCTCATGTACTTCCTATGTTCGTTGACTGGCACAAAATACTCATCATAAGGATCACCTATATCTACTTCAGTCTCCTTCTTTACGGGCAATCCGTTCCTATGTGGGTCCATGTTGACCAATTCTAAATTGACGGCTTGGTGCATTTCTGTATCACCATTACTTTTTATTGGGGATTTTAAATTAGCACTGGCATTGAGTTCACCATTCTTCATAACTTCTTTTTCTTTAGCATGACCATTGGTCACTGGAGTTGGTCGGCCAAATGAGGAGGTGCGTTTGTTAGAATCAGGCTCGAAACTAGGATTGTCCAGGCCGCCGCTACTATCAGTTGCGTCGTGACTTTTAGGATCATTCATTGTCCTTGGTTTAGGTGTAGGCACATCAGTTGCCTTTGGTAATTTTTCTACTGCTTTTGGTTGTTTAACATCTACCACTGGCTTTTGTTTGTTTTCCACTGGCTTTTGTTTATTTTCCACTGGTTTTGTTGGAGAGGTTTGTTTCACTGGGGTATTTTCAACGCTGGGTAACGTTATTTCGTTGTGGTAAATCGGCGGAGGACTGGAGGGTATGGGTGGCCTATTATTGTTTTGTACAGTAGGTCCACTGATTACCTCAGAAGCTCCGTTTATTGATAATGTGACTTCGTTAATGTGGTAATATTGGTTTGGTTGCTTGGATGCCACAGGATCTGGAGCACTATTGCTCTCCTCCATAGTCGTACTGGTTTAATTCGGCAACCAGATGATTACTGGACCTGGAAATAAAAATTTATAAAATGAGAACTTTTGTAAATATTCTTCATTATTAAGAAGGAAAAATTGAGATGATCCTACAATAAAAAATTATTTTCTTAAACTCAAAGCAACTTTTTTGTTCGCAAATATTACTTAGCAAATGAAGAAAAAATTTAAATAAGCAAATAATGAATATTCAATAATCACTTCACACGTGCAATTTCGTTACAAGTCATCATACAAAAATTTCTGTACAAACAGAAAGAATATTTACACAAAATACATTTGCATTAAGTATGAGAAATTTTTCGTACTTAAGTAATATTTATGCATATTTTCTGCAAATATTTAACATATGTTTTGAATAGTGTCTATGTTTCAAAAAATAATTGTTTATTTGGAATGCATAAATGTTTTACAATAATACATAATTGTTTTATAATAACATATGTCTCCTGTTTAATAAATATAATATTACCATTCATTCAAGACAAGTTTATGCTTGTTTTTTATTTATATCATTTTCAATTTACTATCATGAACCGATGGCTGGCAGTCTAATCAATAAATTTCTATAAAAATAATCGTGATCATTTTACATAACAACTTTCGCTAGTTGATCTCAGTTTACCAGAGACTTAAAGAATAACTTGTTTCGTTTTAAAACACCTTGTCTGTAAGTATCACCTGCTATTCCCGGTACTGTATAATTAAGTAACTGTAAAAGGGACACTGAATTCGAAAACCAATTAATTGATAACCTAGTGATACACTTATAAAAATGTGACGGATATAAATTATAATAAAAATTCAAATAAAATGCTATAATGATAACAATTACCTTTTTTTAAATTTAACTATGTAGTAACCGTGACAGAAAAATCATAAACAAGTGCAATGATAACGATGAGCAGAACAGAGTCTGTCAGAAATATTCTGTATAACTATTTGTAAATAAAATTAAATGAAAAATTTCATTGTAGGTTGAGTGAAGTCGGTGACTTAATTAAAAAATATTGTCAAATTTTGACCACATGATTAAACTTTTGTTCAAGTTCTTATAAAACACCCCAGAAATAACCATTTGAATTAGAATATTATTCTTGAAATTCAAGTGTTGTATCATATACTTGTTTTATCCTGCAGTCGCCTTGCAATATTTTATCCAATAAGAACTTTACGTTAAACAAAGCATGTGAATAAAACAAAAGGTAATTCTTTCCGACCACAAGTAATTGTAAATCATATTTATTTGAAACATGTCCAGTGGTCTAAACATTCGTCGAGTTGTGCGCTTTTGCTTTGGAAGACTCGAAGGCTAAACTCGGAGCAACTGAAGAGAACTTAAGAAGTGGTATTTTGTTTTATTTTCTCCTCTGGCGTTCCTCGACCGTTGTGGATGAACGTGCTTTTCGCATGTCTTGGCGATATGTTATATTATTCCAGTACACAAAGAAATCGCAATAAAACACAAAGCTATAAGCAAACTTATAATATCCTAGAACACTTCACGTTTGACAACAGAAACACCTGAGCGATAAATGACTCATGGAACAAGTTTTGAATGTGTGATTGAAGTTTACGATTTTTCTAAAGAATTTATTATTATTTTTTAGACTTTGTTTTATACCTATATAATTATTTTTTATTATTCTAGATAATATCACAATCTTCTATTCCTATAGCAAAAACCCAAGAAAGCTTAAGGAGCTGGAAATGGTCAGTTATCCTTTACGTAACCTTTCCTAGTTGTTGAATAGAATATTCGAGAAATTAAATGACGCTATAAATTTTATGATAATAATAATAGCGATCTACACAATTCAGAGACTATGATTTGATTTATGTATGTAACACTATAAAAGATTTGTAATGAAATTATTTTCTTCTACAGCTTTACCAGATAAATTAAAAGTGCTTACAGATTCACGAATATACAATGATTGAAAATCAAAAATTGATTGAATTGCACTTTATAAAATTATCAAGTGATATATTATCTGATAATCGAAAACGTCAACGTACAAAAACAGTATGTTGATTTATATATGTAAATCTATGAACGGTTTGAAAGTGATAATTATTCTTCTTGAGCTAATATAACAATACTTTTAGGCTTTTCATTTCTTCCAGAAATATTTGACTTTTTTGTAATAGTAACTAATTGGTCAACAAATAATTAATTCAAGATGTAAAATATTTATTATTAAAAAAATTATAAAAACAACAACTATTAACGTTGCTATTTAATTAAAATAACTAAAAAATTGATAATAAATGTAAATCTTCAATAGCTTTACCAGCTAATAATAAAATGCTTTGCTATGCACAAATACGTAATGTATTCTACAACAGAAATTTCATAGAGTATATTTATATCATAGAAATTTATAAATTTCATAGAAATTTCTATTTATTTTATATTAATAATTATAAAATAAATAGAAATTTCATATAGTATATAATTTGATGATAGAAGACTTCAACACATATTATTTTATTCTACTATTTTTATTCTATTATTCTATATAAATTGTATTTTTAATTTTGAAGTATAATTTATTAAAATTTTAATAAAAATGATTAAAAATAATTATGGTGGTAAATCATGAAATAAATTGGAAAATAATAGGATACTATGTAAAAAGTTACTATGTGGTATTAAAATAAAAAATGTGGTCTGATATATGATATAGAGATTACTTTCAAATTTCATACCGTTTAAATTTGAAATACTTTGTATGATAGAAATATATTCTCTGTATCTATTCTGCCATCCAATTTGAATTTCTACCAAAGCTTTCAAAATTTATACATTCTGTGAAAAGCAACTAGTTGATCAAGACAAGACATTAGAATCTTCACATATTTCTGATAATGGTATTTGAAAATACTTGTAACTTTTGTGTTTTTTTGAATTTTCAGCTCTTGATAGAATTATTGTTAACGATTATGTTTAGAACTTTTCTAGTAAATAACTTAATGAACCAGACAATATTTTTTAAAATTTTGAGATTTTCATCTTGGTCGTCATTAAATTAAAAGAGTTAGAACGTTAGAACGTTAGAATGTTCTCCCTTTCTTTATATTATTAGATGTTGAATTTTATTATTCCAAAGTTTGAGAAATCATGTGTTACCATAATGTCTTTGTATTACAGGCAACAGAACGATCTGTTTACCTTCCCAGTCGGCGTTGTAGAGAAATAACGAACAACGCCTCGAGCTTACCCTGAAATGGGCTGAGTTGCAGGGTTGATGGTGGGAACTATAATCGACAGAAGTAAATAAAAATTTAAAATTATCGATAATCATATCGACAAATCAAATTCATGTCTTATTTGATGAAGCCAATAATAAATGTTATATGTAAATCTATAAAAATTTTAACATTGGAGAAGAAATTGGAGACTTCACTGGTAATTGATCAGACTTTATAATGGAAAGTTAAATGTATCAATTTTACTACGTGTCGTCGTAGTAGACTTGTTGAAGTATTAAACAACCATATTACAAATTTGGTCTGCGAATAATTAGTGAATTGTCATAATTTCCAATATCGATATATCGATCTATTACTTTACCATCCCTACTGGTTCTTTTTACTGGGAATTCTAGTTGGCATAGCGTGCCGAGCCGATGTCGGCATGTTGACCTGCCTACACAATCATAACAAACGCGGTTATTGTTTCTTCCTTTTGTTTTTGGCATTTTGCACGAAGACCATATATGCTAATGTGCATATCCTTCCTAGGGCCTGCAGTTATGTAGACACATGCTAATGTTCGAGTTGCAAATCACGAAGTCTAGAAGCTCACATGATATTTTGTTCTCTACATACATAGCAGTTGAAATAAAAGGAGAAAAAAAGACAAAAATGACTCAATGAGGTATTTCCATCCATCAGTACAATCACTTTTATATAGAATCATACAACCTCTATATTTTTTTTAAACGTCGTCATATTCTCTGACGATTACATTTTGCGATGCAATACCAATTTCATAACACTTTGGCACAATCATTAATTTTTGAAGTATGTGGTCCACAAAGCACTTGAAAAATTTCTCTTTGAAATTATTTTACATGTCGTATACTTTCGTGAAAGTTCAATTCAAGCAACATATCGAATGATTTTGGCAAATTATTCGTATCAATATTATCGACAGGTGCAAACCGGTAAAGGAGGTATCTGAATTTCTACTCAGCAATTACATCAGATCTATTGGGAATTTGTATACATAATCAAATAAAATAAGTTATTACATTTTTGGCACGTGGTATGTTAAATGACTTAAATTAAATAATCAATAAGTAAAATGATTAATTTAATAAATCTAGCCTGTCCTAGGAATAGCATGGGCTATGAAGGAGACAACCAGCTAATGATGACGATTTGTCCATTGGTAAAAAAATGAAACAAAAAAGCTATATACTTTAGTTCATCATTTAATTAACTGCAATTACTACCTATTGCCATTTAGAGATAATATTTTGAATCTTCAATGAGATTTACCAGAGCTAGTAGTACTACTACTACTCTTACCATTTTAATTACTGAAAGTATTTACACAACTGGATATGATTTACCACTGATTAAATTCTTTCTGAACAAGTAGAGTAATCTGGTTTTAGGTGCACTTCCTCATTTTTTCAAAACCAAAGGTCTTTTCAAAAAAATAAATCCAAACAGAGCACTTTGTTATGGTACTTTATTATGAATAGATATAGGGCTTCCGTTCCGCCAATTGTCTTATGAAATACATAAAATAAAATTACAAAGCGTGCTACAGTATTTCATTGTACAAGTAATGAAAATAATAATATACCACTTTATTTCTGAAGGCCTTGGAGCTCTTCTCAAAGTCATTAAGACAACAACAAAAATGATAAAACTAAAAGACATCCAAGAAAACCACTAAGATCAAAAAATGCAGTACGTTTAGATTTTTGTAAGTATATATTTGAATTGAAAACTTGTTTATTTTCATTAGTTTCATTTCATTATGCTTCTACTGAAT